CAATTTATGCCAGAATAACATTAAGCATTAAATATAAATGTCACGCTTTTAGATATGATAATGAAAAATCAAGACAAATCGTGATAAGACAAAAAGTATCTTTCAGGTTTGTTTAAAATGCAATCACTTGTATTAAATACGTCGATGGTTGGCTCTACCGTAAAGCACATTTTATCTGGCGCTTCTGCGAGGCAACTCTCAAAGCCTATTTCGAGCGGTTTGCTCGAGGGTTTGTTTGAATCCATCCGATCTGCTTCTCGTCAGTTCTAGAAGGAATTCTCGCATTCGAAGCTCGCGAGAATGCAATCTTCGTCACGGAGCTTTCATTTCCCAGGACCAATCCTGACGCTTTCACGGATATCGCAATTGTTTGTTTTCATTCTCGACAAGCAAATCAGAATTTATTGAAAGATCCAGATTTTTTTGTGAAACAATTTGGAAGATTGGAAAACACAGACAACGAAAAAAAGAAAAAAAGCAAAAGAAAAAAAGAGAAACAGACAGCATTTACATTCTGTTTGCTTAACTTTATAAATCCTTGATTACCATTAATTATAAGAGAATTAATTTTAATTAAATATCTCGAGTTGTTTGTTAACATTTACAACAATATAAAACAAATAAAATATATATCTGAAATATAAAAAAAATATATATATATAAAAGAATCAGGTTTATTTTTAATATTTGATGAATTATGATTGAATTATTGACAGTAAGATCTGTACAATTTGAATTTGATGCGTAATTTGTTTTATTAATGATATTTATTGCAAAGTCTATTGACAAAGATTTCTGATGTTTATGTGTATAATTTGCCATGTTGCAGGTCGCAACGAGCTGATCGCCCGTTATATCAAATTGAGGACCGGCAAGACGAGAACGCGAAAGCAAGTGTCTTCGCATATACAGGTTCTCGCGAGAAGAAAACTCCGGGAAATACAAGCAAAACTCAAAGTGGTGAGTATATTCCATTTATGTGTCTTCAATCCGACGCTATTTAATATATCTATTGTCTCTTCTTAACGCTTCTCAACGCCACATCGAGCTCTGTCGACATTGTGCGTCTCGATCGCGTATATTGCCTCTTTCGTGGAGGGACAACCAAAACGAGTTCAGTTTTAAATGATTTATATTTTATTTAATATTTACATATATGTATAAACGTGACGTGCTGTAACTATCAAAATAAACTCCACGACACCAGCGGTTTAACGTGACGCGTTATTATAATAATGAAATGCGAAACAAACGCGGTTGTACGATTATTCATTTAATAATACTGCAATACTTGATGACACATCGTGTCATTTGATAATATATTAAATAAAATATTGCGCCGTATAAATGCGATACTTGGCATGTGGAAGTGATATTTAAATTTCATTTGCATCGGTTTCCTTATTCCTCTCTGAACTGCAGGTGATGTATTGAAACTTCGATTATCTGGATTAAAAAATATAATAGTCGCATATACAATCAAACGATCACGTGTTTTAAAACATTATTTGTTAAATGATATTTTATTAATATGAAATGAAATAAAGAACTCTTTATTAAAGCAAGAAAATGAACAAATTATTTTTTATTAATTAATATTTTTAATTTATTAGTATTATTTAAAAGTCTTAAAAATGAACGAAAGGCTATTAGAAAAAAGACAGGAAATGTATGTTTAAAGAGTTTGATTTAATTATACAATAATGTTGACATCGAAATAGTTTTTCATTTGTTCCTAAAAAATTTTACAGTAAGAAGTAGAATTCTGCACTCGAAAATTCTAGCATATAAGAAATGTGTTTTTTTTCACTGAACGATATTTTTACAAACAGAGTCGAATGCTCGATCGAAACGTTCAGCGCGCGTTGGAAAATAATCAAAATTCTGCTGTATTTCGCGTTTTGTAGAATGCTGCCTCGGACAGTAGCGATGATATTAAATCGTGATCGGCGATGTGCGAGTATTAGCGGGCGATGGCCGTTGCGGAATCATTTTCGACGCGAGGGAGAGACATATATCGGGGAACACATATATCGAGAGGAACATTGCCGCGGGATAAATCACGCGTAAAAATGAACCCAGCCCGTTTAATCAACAGCTGAATTATTAAAGCGATTCGCGAACAATTGCGCGTCGGTTAATAAATCAAAGCAGGGTGGTGCAATCGGTGGTGCCTCCATTTCGCCGATGGGCAGTGAAATAACGGGAGACAGAAGACACAGGAGAGAGAGAGAGAGAGAGAGAGAGAGAGAGAGAGAGAGAGAGAGAGGAGAGAG